AACAAAATAATTTTCTGTTACCTGTGAGAGTGGGGCTTCCAACTGATTTGTTTAAAAAATAATTACATGCTAATTAACACAGAAATTTGTGCAAAAATGATCATTTAGAATTTACCTTTCCAGTGACTTTTTTGTTTGGTTGGGGTTTTTTGTTTGTGTGGGTGTCTGTGATTCGATGGATTTAAATGTACAATTTTTACCATTCTCATGCCTCTTCCTAAAGGAATGGAGGAGCCAGTTGCTAGGGCATGGGATTGAGAGCCAGGACTCCTGGGTTCTATTCCAGGGTCTGCATCACAGTGCCACTGTAGGTAAGTCACTTGGCTGCTCTGTCCTCAGTTTCAGTCTTACCAACCTCAAGAGTTCAAAAAGCATGAGTCAGGCTTGAAAAATGAGGCGATTGGTTTAAAAATCAAGAGGGGTTGGTTGTGTTTAATAATAAAGGGGGGGGGATTTGCCTTCTGGGTTTTGAGCCAACAGGAGGTCACATTTTCAAGCTTTTTCTCCTCAATCACAAGGACCAGAAACTTTTTTTTTTTTTAAATGAAAACTCAGATTCTCACTCAAATCACCTGGCTGCTGGAGCTGGGGCTTTAAGAAAAGCACCAGATATTGCAAGGATCCTGACAAAATCCTGAGAGTTTCAGCACTACAGGTTTTAGCTTGTTTGGGTCTCTCCGAAGGGATGGATGGGTCAGTTGATAGAGCCCAAGATTTTGAGGTAAGACTCCTGGCTGTGCATCGCTGTGTGGTTCTAGGTAAGTGTGCCTCAATTTCTCTCTTGCCAAATTGGGCGTGTGCAGGGAATGATGCTGATCATTCTTGTTAAAGGGAGTTGCTTGGCACTTCAAAAAGCATTCACAGTTGGGGCCAGTTTCCCCCACAAGTGGGGGCACCCAGAAGTGTCACAGTGGAAGCTGCTGGGGGCTTGTGTACTTTTGAAAATTCTTTACATTCCCAAAGGGGAGCCGTGCCCTGAACAAGCCACATCTATCCTACGAAAAGCCCTTCGCAAAGATTCTTTTAAGATTTTCCTGGGTGTCTGCCTCTCACTGTGCTGTCGGCCGAGGCCTCCCTTGTCAGGCAGCATCGGAGCGGGAAAAATGTCCATGTTGTGCAGACAGTGAGACAGCAGGGTTTCAGTTGTCAAGAGCCCTAAGCTTTTAGTCAGTGGCAGCAGCTGCTGAGCAGCAGAGGTGGGTGGAGCAGCCTTGAGAGGGGTTTAGCTGAATTGCTTTTTTGCAAAGGCTTGTTTTGCTGGAGGAGTTAAATGCAGTCTGTTCATCGGGGCCCGATCCAGCACTTAGTCCCAATCAGGATTGGGTCCTTAAACAGCCCTGGGAAAACATCCATAATTTTAAAATTGTCCCAAACTGTCTTCCTCCGTAGCTGCAGGCTTCAATGCTGGTGTCTACATCTTAAAATTGGAGGGGGTGCAGAGAAGAGCCCCCAAAGCGATCTGAGGAGTGGAAAATAATGCTGTTCGGTGAAACGGTTTAAGAGCCCGGTTAGCTCACCAAAAAGAAAAGCAAACAGTGTCTTGTTTATGGCATAACCTCCTGGGCTGTAATGGGCCCGTTAGTCTAGTGCTGAAAGATCAAACAAGAACCAATGGCTGGAAGTTAAAGCCGGTCAAATTCCAAATAGAAATAAGGCAGGTTTTTAACGGGGAGGGAGATTGATCAGTATTACAAACTCCTAGGGAAGAGGTGGATTCTCCAGCTCCCAAAGCTTTCAAATCCAGACTGGCTGCCTTGCTGGCAGGTGCATTAGCCAAACAAGTTCTTGGGCTCAGCGGTAAATGCGTGAAATGCAATGGCTTCTGCTATGCAGGAGGTCAGACCAGATAATGTAACCGTCCTTTCTGGCTTTAACCTCTGTGAATTCTACCTCCTGCATTACCCTGGTAAATGATTTCCTATTCCAGAGGCTTCAGCATCTATCCTGATGCAGGAAACAGAACCACACCTCATCCCCTAGGTGCTGCGAACAGAGGTGGATGGAGCCCTTGCTCCCTGTACTGGATAGTTCTTTTCCCCTCCTGCTTCCCTGAGATCCTGAGCTGTTGGACAGGAATGCCCCGAATTTGAGATTTGCCCAACTGACAGTAGCTGAAACTTGACACCCCCAGACTTGTTCTAGATGCAGCGGGACTGGACTGGCTTGGGCAGAGGGACGCACGACAGAAGGGTGTTACTGGCCAATCCAGGCTCCAGAGGGAGAGGCCGGCTCATTTCCTTCTCTCCCATCTAGTTTTAACCTCTGTGTCAATGTGGTTCTGTGCACAAATGAGACAGCAGAAATGACCCTTTCTAACACCCAACTGGGCTCCTGCCCATGCGTGCATTGGAGCCAAATCTGCTGCTTAGAGTGACAAACAAACTGCGGAGCCAGTGTAGCTACAGGAGAGTGAGCTGGAGTCCACTCCTGTCAGTTGCCCTTGTGCATTACCCTTGATAGCAATGGGGCCATGCAGGGGTTACGGGGGTATCGTGGGGGGGGGGGTGAGGCTGTGTGGAGTGTTGGAGGTAGGGCCGCAGCACAGGGGTTACTGAGGATAGAATGGTTAGTGATTGGGTTCCTGACACTGCAGGGAAGCTTTTAATAAAAATCCGAGTTTTATTATTCTTCCTGCCAGGTTTGAAAATCCCTGTCTTTAACAAAACAACTTCTGGGGCCAAAAATTAGAAGCAACAGGGTCTGGAGAGCAGCAGGGGACAGTCGACGCTAAAGCACAGGGCTGGGAGTCAGAACTCCTGAGTTCTACTCAGCTCTGGGTGGGTGGGGGGATCTAGTGTTCAGAGCAGGGGGGGAATAGGCTAGCAGAGAGGACTCTGGGAGGGCAGTGTGGTCTAGTAGTGAGGAGATTGAACCAGGACCTCTGGGTCCTATTTCCAGCTCTGAGTGGGGGCGGGGTCCTAACAGTGTAGTAATAATTGGGCCTACCGCTCTTGGGAGTCTAACTGGGAAGTGGATAAAAGTTCATAAAGTGTCACAACAACCTATAACAACAAAGGCTGGTGGGAAGAGATGCAAAAGGGAGACAGACAGACAGAATTAGTCCAAACAAAAAAACCTCCTGATACCACTCAAGGACTGTGTTATGATCATGCCCAGTAAACTATGGGAGTGTGGGACCAGATGTCAATGAAGTAAAAATTGGTATGTCAGAAATGAGGCTTAGTTGGGGAACAAAATCCTGAAGGGATGGGCTAGGCCACCTGTCTCCCTTTGGGGGTCCTTAAAAAAAGCGATTTTGGGGGGGAAATACGGTTGTGGAAGTGGGAGTCAGAGTGCAACAAGTGCTGAGGGGAAGGAGCAAACTTCATCATCATGGCTACCACCCCTGCCTGAGATGCACCGGGACACGACTGGGCCTTCCTTGTCCTGCTCCAAAGAGGGCCAGAGAGAGTGACCCAGACAACATTACCACCTGCACTGACTCCGGCTAAAGCCCGACCCCACCTGGGATGTGAGACTATTTCTTCACCTGCCCCCCTCCCCTCCACGGGTCCTTTTCCTTCCCTACCTTCTTCTCTTCCCTCCTGATGCCTTCTGGCAGAGCTGGCAAAGACTGTATATTTTGCAATGCCCTAAACAGCCCAGCGCTGGTACAAGTTTGCCAGGTCTCAGAGTGGCTGATCAGTCCCTGTGTGCCGCTGTTTCTCCAGCAGGGAGGTGGCAAGTGAGAGTCAACGGCAGAAGGAGAAGCTGCATCCCTTGCATCTTCTCTCCCCTCTTGCATGTGTTTAATGTGCAAATGCATTACCCACTTTTCTTTCTCTTCTGCGTCTTTAATAAGAGGGCAAAGGGGTGTTTAATGGGCTGTTTGCTGGGGGACTAAGCAGGCTGATGGCTCTGGTTACCAAACCCCAAATCTTAATGTCAAATAGGGACAGGGTCACGTTAACATCTTTCACTCTTTGGGACCTTCTATTCCATCTAGATTAACACAACAACCGTGAGACAGGGATTGAGCCAGGACTGGCTGTGTGACCTCGACCAAGGCCTTTGAACCCTGTGCCTCATTTTCCTCTTCTGGGGGTAACACATCTCTGCCTTGTTGGGCTGGTGTCAGTGAGCAAGCCCTGGAGGATGCCCTGGGCGGGTGAAGCAGACATGTTAGGCCCAGGCTGCTGGGAAGGGGTGTGGGTATCTCCACTCTCCAGTCCAGCTGTTGTTTCATTGTCCTAGCCAGTGATCCATGAAAGCAGCTGCAAATTACCTGTGTTCCACCTTGCAGCCCTTCCCCTCACCCCTGCCGTGTGGGTGGCAGCGAGTCACAGCGACCCAGGGTTTGGCTGCCTGGGGGTTAGCGCAAGGCCTAGAACCCAGCGCCTCTCCCACCCTGCCTGCATTAATCATAAATCCACCCATCTCTGGGGCGACCCAAACTCCCCCCTTGGGCAGCTGGATTTCTTTTCTTCCTGGCCCCCATGGGAGGAGATCGGTATCTCCCACCTCCTGGCGCTCAACAGCTAGGGCCACATGAGTGCAACAGGGCTCAGCCCTGCCAGACGTTCACCCCCTGCTTGCCTGGTTACAGATGGGCGGAGTTACGCCGGGGAGACCAAAGGTGGGAGGTTGCGTCCAGCTCTGGGGTACGGCACATCAACAATGGGAGGGGGTTCACTTTGTTGATAAAGAGCATCTCTCTGTCTGTGCCCTACCAGGGACTGGCATCTTTTTGAGTGGTGGGGAGGGGGCTGGGATGCAGGACTCCTGGGTTTTGTGCCCATTTCTGGGAGGAGAGGGTTGGGATGCAGGATTCTTGGGTGCGATTCCCTTAAAAACCGTTGGGAGTCTAATCTCTCCCCTCCCCTGCTCTCTGGTAACCTGACCCTGAGGAGTTGTTATTTTTAAACCTCCCATTGACCCAGATTATTTGTATTCTTCCAATTATTTTTAACTTCCCTGCAGGGAGCAATGAATCCAGCCAGAGCAAAGGGACCCGATGGCCATGGGCCTCTAAGCCCCAGGGACCCACTGCTTTCTGGACTGGCATAAAAGAGCCAAGATCCCTTTGCAGCCTGCGCCCACAACCACCTGGAACCCAAGAGTCCTGGCTCCCAGAACCGCCCCCCCTCCCAAGCCTCTTTGCTGTTCTGCAATCAACGCTGCTGCAAGGTAAAGGTGCCCCGGCAGCCTGCTCGTGAGTAGGGTTTGCCATGACCCTGTTCCATGGGGATCTGGCTGGATGTGAGCGGGGGCTGGACTGGAGTCTGATCCCCTCCCAACTTTGCGTCTGTCCTGGATCCAGCTGACACCGGATCAGACTGTGTGGCAGTCCCAGAAGAGGTACCCCAGGGACAAGTCAGCCCCTTGGCATGTCAGTGAGGGGCAGGGGTAGCTGGGAATGGGAGGAAGGAGTGGGGAATGTTTCTATATGGAACAAGCCTGAAGAGGCACTGGGAGCCAGGACTCCTGGGTTCTATTCTGGGCTCTGGGAGGGGAGTGGGGTATAGTGGTTAGAGCAGGGGGGCGTGGGAGTCCAGATTCCTTGGTTCTTTACCATCCTCTGGAAAGGGAGATGGAGTCCAGTGGTTAGAGCAGGAGGCTGGAAATCAGTGGGACCGTGGGCATATCTTACCCTCTTGTGCCTCAGTTTCCCTATCTATAAAATAGCAATAAAGGCAAACCTGGGGAGTTGGGAGGCAAAATTAATCTCTGCAAAATGCTCTGAGATGCATCAATCTTGTAGGTAAACCTTCCCCACCCCACCCCACCCCATCCCAAACTGGGTAACCTGGCAGGAGGGGGAAGGAGTCTGGGAGCAGGGGATACAGGTTCCCTGCTAAGCAGGAAGAGGTAGGGGGGAGGATAGTGGGACACCCTTCCTAGGGGGAGGTGTCTAAATACTAGGAGGGAAATCTCATTATTGCCCTGAAGCAGCCCCCCCATGCTACTTGGGGGGAGCACTCCTGGGGTGTGTCCGTCCTTGTGTCTCATACTTCCCCATCCCCTGTCTGGATTCTTGGGTGGGGAGGATCCCTAGTCTCAGCCAGGGAGTAACACTGACCAACTCGTGTGAGGATGGAGGAGGTACATTCTGCATCCCAGACACTGAATGACTGGGCCCCTGGACTCCCCCTTCCCTTGCCCTGAAACCCCATGCCCCCCCCCCACAGCCCCCTCTATTCTGGGTCCCAGAAACCCCTCCCTCACCCTGGAGCACCCCCGGCACTCACTACAGTTTTGTCTTTCTCTCTGCCTAGGATCACCCCGCCGCATCCCCTGGTCAGATCGGGAAGTCCTGCACACCGGGATTGCAGGGGATGGCAGCTTGGAGCCCGATCCTGCTGCTGCTGCTGTGGGGCCAGTCGGCAGGTGGGTGCCGGGGGAATGGGGAGGCCAGTCAGGCCCCCACTGGGAGATGGATGGAGGGAGAGGGGGTGTCATCAAATGGTCAATGTGTGTCCCAGTGCCCTACTTCCACCCTAACCACTAGACCAGTGGTTTTCAAACTCTGTATTGGTGATTCCTTTCACACAGCAAGCCTCCGAGTGTGACCCCCCCCCCTTATGCATTAAAAAGGAGGGTAATTTAATAGGGGTTGTGAGCCCTATGGAACTGACAGCTTGCAACCTCCCTGTAACCTTCTGAGGGCTCACGGTCCCCCAGTTTGAGAACCCCTGCACTAGCCCCCACTCCACTCTCAAAGCCAAGGATAGAACCCAGGAGTCCTGGCTGCGAGCCCCCATCCTCTAACCATTAGACCACCCTGCCATTTCTGGGCAGGCAGGAGGTTCCCCTTCCAGGCACAGACCAGCTGCCCCCACTTTGGGAACTGCACTCCTTTGTCTGGCTCCTGCTGACCAGGGCCCTTTCTCTCTCCTCTACAGCCGCCTGGCACTGGGCCCTGTGCCAGGCTCGCCCGCTGTCCTCTCACCACCCTGTGCTGGGCTTCTGGGAGCGGATCCATGCAGGCACGGGTTGCGCCAGCCGGGGGCGCTCGGCCTCGGGCCGGGAGGTGCACGTGCTCATCCTGCGGGGGCTAGCGGGGAGGATGGGGGCCAGGCAGGTAGGTGGGAGGGAGTGTCCCTTCCCTGTCATCTTCCAGCCTCACCCTGGGCCCCCCACCTCATCCCCCTTACCCCCTGCCCTCCATCCTGTGCCTCCCTCCCCCAATTCCACCGTCTCACCCCCTGCGCTCCACCCTGCCCCCTTCCGTCCATCTTCCTGGTCTCTGTCCTTCACCCTGTGCGCCCCAAGTTGCCCCTTCCCTCTGCCCCACCCCCTCACTCCCTACCTTCTACCTTGGCCCTCTCACACCTCCTCACTCCCAGCCCTCCACCCTGTGCCCCCCAACCTGCCCCTTTTCTCTGCCCCACCCCCTCACTCTGCTCTCCACCCTGCCTCTCCCACAACTCTCACCCCTGCCCTCCACCCTGCCCCTTCCCTCCGCTCCACCCCCTGGCCCCCTTCCCTCCAACTTGTGCCTCCTGCCCCTACCCCAACCCTCCTCACTCCCTCCCTCTGCCCTACCCCCTCACTTCCTGCCCTTCATCTTGTACTCCCACCCTGCCTCCTGCCCCTCCACTCTGTACCCCACAGCCTTGCCCCCTGCCCTGCATCCCACATGCCTCCCCTCCAGTCTGTGCTCCATGCCCCCTGCCCCAATCCTGTCCCCAGCCCCCAGCTACATAGTCCTGCTTCCTGTCCCTGCCATCCCCATCCCAACCCCATGGCCTGTGCTCCCACCACGCCCCTTCCTCCAACCCCACTGCCTCACCTCCTGCCCCCACCACACTATGCCTCCCTATAGCCACCCCTCCCACTCTTTTTGGTGCCCCAGCCCCTCAGCCGGCCACATGCCTGCCCTGTGCCCCCCACACCTCCCCTCCCCCACAGCCCCCACACCTTTCCCTGCACCCCCAGCCCCATGGCCTTGCCCCCTCCCCTATGTGTCTGAAGCTCCTAATGCAGGGTCCTTTGCTCCCTCCTAGGTGAGCCTAGAACTGGGCCCAGCGCCCCACGGCAGAGCCCCTATCTTTGTGCTCAGCTCCCAAGCGCCCGTGGTCTGGAGCCTCCAAACGGCCCAAGTGGCTCTTGGGGAGCAATGGACCTTCCAGGTGAGGGTAGGGGCAGCTATGGGGCTTGGGTGAGGGTGCCTGTGGGAGGGGAAGGGGGGTAGGAGGGCTGGGAGGGGAGGGCAGGGACATCGGGGCAGCTGGGGGAGGGTGGGGCAAGCAGTGAGGGTGGAGGAAGCATGGGAGGCTTGGGGCAGGTGGGGAGTGGAGCTGGCACAGGTGTGGGGGGAAGTGTGGGGCCAGCAATTGAAAATGGGGAGGGCTGTGGTGGATGGTGGGGGGCTGGAGGTAGCTGTGGCAGGAGCAGGTGAGCAGTGGGGGTGGAGGCAGGCAGTGGGAGTGGTGGAGGGGTGGGAAGGGGGGTCTGGAGGTCACTTCTCTTTACTGGAGCTGGAGCAGGGTCCCTGGATGGGACAGTGGGTGCAGAAGGGCAGGGTGGGGGCTGGGGACCTGGGAGCATTTGGAGGCAGAGGAGTTTGGGCCCAGGGGCAGCGAGAGGAGTGGGGTGGGTGGAGCAGGGCTGGGTGGGAGAGGGGCTCTCAGGCCCAGGAGCAGCAGGGGTTGGGGGGTTCTGGCCAGGGGCAGTGGGGATAGGGGCACAGGTTGGGAGGCCGAGGTATTGATGGTTGGAGGATCCTCCCCTTGACAGTTAGCCCTGGGGCTAGGAGGTGTGAGGAACCCAGGAGTCCTGTGAGGGCTGGGAGCGATGGGGAGCTGTGGTGGGAGTGGGGGGTATGTGGCACCCCACTGGGGGATGGGATGTCCATTCCCCAGGTGACCTCTCACCTTTATGCCCCCCCTACAGGTCTCCCCGGGCTCCAGAGTCTCGGCCCTAGGGGGTGTCTCTGTCATTGAGACCCGGCTGCCCCAGACCCCCCGAGGGCTCCTGCGCTGGGCGCATGAGGAGCACGGCGGGGTCAGCTCCCTGGCTGCGTATTGGGGCGTCAACACGGTCTATGTGCGGCTGGGAGATGGTATGGGGGGCTGGGGATTGAACCCCCGTGTCAGTGTGGGGAGGGATTCAGGGTGGCTGGGGATCATATCCTCATGTCAATAGCGGGAGGAAACCCAGGGGGGGCTGGGTATTGGACCCCTGTGTCAATGGGGGGAGGGGACCCAGGGGGCTGGGGTTTGGACTCCATGTCAGTGCGGGAGGGGACCTTGGGGATCGGACCCCAGCCCCATGTACCTGAGGGAGGGAATCCCAGGGAGATATTGGGGGATCTACCCTAGGAATCCTGCATTCCTTAAGGGACCTCCGGGGTTAACCCCGCAACCTCCCCAGCCCCTCCGCATTCTCGCTACCAGATGGGGTCTCGCCAGATGCCTGCAAACCTCGCAGGAACTTCCTCTCCCCGACCCACTTTGCCTCTGACGTCCAACCACGGCCCTTGCGGGGCTGCCTGACCTCTGACCCCCCATGGGACCCCGAAGTTCACGTCATCCTCTCCAAAGGAGCCAGGCCCCGGTATGAACCGTATATCAGAGCATCCTCCGGGGCTGGAATAGTGGGGGGCTGCGGGTCAGGATTGAGGGGCACGAACAGAGCTGGGGGGCAGTGGGGAGCCCAGGGCTGGGATAGCGGGGGAGGGGAGGGCAGCTGCGCATCAGGATTGAGGGGCACCAGCAAAGCTGAGGGTTGGGGGGGGGAGCCCACAACAAGAACAGAGGGGGCTTTGGGTCAAAATAGAGGGCCACTGGCAGAGCTGGAGGGCTCTCCACCCCTGTTGCTGCTCAGCCCCATGGCAGGGAATGCCCAGCCTAGCTGATGTTGGGGTCGGGGGGTCCTGCCGTGTCTCCAGGCCCCCAGCACATCTCACTGTGGAGCTCCAAGCGCCCCAAGGCTGCTGCTCCCCCCGGCTGGAGCTGATCGTGGTGCTGAAGAGCGAGGGCGCCACCAGCTGGCTGGTCCGAATCCACCACATGGCTGGGCGACTGCGAGTCCTGGTAAGAGAGGGGCTCCCTGGGGATGGGAGAGGGGTTACAGGGGCCAGGAACAGCCCCCCCATGCACAGAGGCTGCTCCCCCTGACCTCTCTCCCCCATGACCCTGACCCTTTGGCCTGATGCCCCCCCGACATCTTCTGAGCCCTCATGACCTTTAACCTCTGATATGGCTTCTCCTCCCGGCCTCAACCCCCTCTGGCCTGGTGCCCCCCTGTTGCCAAGGTGAACCCAGGAGTCCTGGTGCCCAGCCCGGCTCCGCTGGTTCCGAGCCCTCTAACTCCTGACTCCGTGGCTGGGGTGGAGTTGCCCCCCTCTGGAACTCCCCAGCCCCTCCTTGTGCTGACACCTTGTTCACCTGGAGTTGCTCCTTTGTATAGCATTGCCCATGATGCCCTGCTCCAGCCTCAGCCTGATCACCCTGAGGTGGAGCACGGTCCGGGTTGGCCTTGGGCTCTGTCACTCTGCCCTGCCCTCCCTTTCCTTACAGGCATCCCACAAGGTCTCGGTCAGCTGCACAGAACCAGAACCAGACCTGGCTCTGAGCAGCAGCATGTCCCTGGGCCTGGCCTATGCCAGCGACCCCATGGCCTGGGCAATGGAGCAGGGGCTGCCTGGGGTCACATCTTACACGGAGGCCGAGCAGGTGAATAGGTTCCTGGTCATCGTGGGGCTGGATGGTAGGTGACTCCTTCGGGGGCAGGGAATGGGCACAGGGTGCAATGCCACGAGAGGGCCATTAGGGGGCCCTCCTGACTCAGACCCTGCCCTGCCCCCAGTGCAGGGGGAGCTGCAGTTCTGCCCTGTGGCCCCCGCTCCCGAGGCACAGCCAGACCCTTGGTGGCCCCCAGTGGTTGGAGAGGCTCATGCCCCAGATGATGCCCTCACGCCTGGCATGTCTGTCCTTCCCAGGGCACCGTCACATCCCAATCCCCAGTGCCATGGTGAAAGGGGAGAAATATGGGGGACTAGGACATAGAGCTGGGCAGTTCTCAATCCAGCCAGCAGGAGGCAGAGTTGCTCGCTTGCTCTCTCGCTCTCTCTCTCACACACACATCCCCTCACCCTGTTCTTCAGCCCTATTCAACCCACATTGGCCCTGTTTCCTTCTTCCCCTCTACCCCCTCACTCTGTTTTCTCCTGCTAGGGGACCCCAAGGCTCCCCACCCCTCCATTCCACCCCCTAGATCAGCCAAGATCTCCCCAATGATCTGGGAAAGGAGCCGAGTGGCGCCAGGAGGCAGGAGCGCTGTGGGGCTGGCGGGAGCTCTGTCTGTGGCGTGTCTGAGCGAGAGGGTGATAGCTCATGTCAACAAGGACATGCTCCAGGTGAGGAATTCCCTTGTGTAAACAATTCCTTCAGTGCGGCACTAGGGGGCGCTGTGCTGCAGTGAGTTCCGTGGGGGCTCAGCAGGGGGCGCTCTGCCCTCACAATCAGTGCTGGTCCCAGTGCGGCACTAGGGGGCGCTGTGCTGCAGGGAGTGTAGGTGGGGCTCAGCAGGGGGCGCTCTGCCCTCACAATCAGTGCTGGCCCCAGTGCAGTGCTAGGGGGCGCTGTGCTGCAGGGAGTGTAGGTGGGGCTCAGCAGGGGGCGCTCTGCCCTCACAATCAGTGCTGGCCCCAGTGCGGCACTAGGGGGCGCTGTGCTGCAGGGAGTGTAGGTGGGGGCTCAGCAGGGGGCGCTCTGCCCTCACAATCAGTGCTGGCCCCAGTGCGGCGCTAGGGGGCGCTGTGCTGCAGGGAGTCAGGTGGGGGCTCAGCAGGGGGCGCTCTGCCCTCACAATCAGTGCTGGCCCCAGTGCGGCACTAGGGGGCGCTGTGCTGCAGGGAGTCAGGTGGGGGCTCAGTAGGGGGCGCTCTCACCTCACAATCAGTGCTGGTCCCAGTGCGGCACTAGGGGGCGCTGTGCTGCAGGGAGTCAGGTGGGGGCTCAGTAGGGGGTGCTCACCGCTCGCAGTCAGTGCCGGCTGTATCAGTCTCATAGTCTCCCTCACCTGCCTCGGCCAGGCTGCCAGACTCTCCCCAGCCCGAGTGACCCTGCGGGACCCCAGCTGTGCAGCCCAGTCCAATGGCACCCACTTCCTGCTGGAGTCCTCCCTGGCCGGCTGTGGCGCCCTGCGCATCCCAGCCCTAGGCCCCACCTCGGGCATCGTGCGGTACCAGAACGCGGTGAGCTGTGGTATAGAGGGGACAATGAGGGGCTGAGTGTGAATGGGAGGGGGTAGATGTGAAGTGAAAGTGTCTGGGGGTCTGCAAAGGGGATAGTGTGTTAAGGGAGTCGAGGGGACCAGGACAGGGTCAATGGGGGCTGGACGGGGCTGGAGGAGTGGGAGAAGTGTGGACGACTGGGAACGGGAAGGCTGGGGTTAATGGGGTCTCATCTGACGCTCTCATGTTTCTGATTGTGCCAATTGCTCCCCACCCCTCCCCCCAGGTGGTGCTCCGGGGCAGCGGGCCAGGGGTAGCGCTTGGGGGTTCCCCACTCCCGGCGAGACAGGCTGAAGATAGCTCGGAGTCCATTGAGGTGGGCAAGGGGGGAGGGGAGGCGTCTTTGGCTGGGCAGTTCTGGTGCTGCTGTGGGGCAGGTCCCTCAGGCCCTTTCACTGGGGGAGAACCTGGGATTGGCGGATTCCGTCCCAAACTATTGAGAGCAGCTCAAAGTGGGGAAGCATGCTGGGCCCGCTCTGAGCCCCCTTGAGCTGGGATGGGGGTTCCTGGCTCCCAACGGCTCCTGGCTCAGTGGGGACCAGGCAGCAGCTGTGGGGAGATGGAGAGCCTTGGTAGGAGAGGTGTCCTAGGGCTTGTGAAGACAGGGCTAACTGGGGAGTCTCTAGGACTGGAGTTCTGGGGGCTGGTCCCCATGTCCCCTACACCCCTCACACCCTCCGCTCCTTTCCCACAGTTCTCCTGCTCCTCCCCAAGCCTGAGCCAGCCGTCCCGCTCTGCCAAGTCCATCCTGGATCTTCCCTTCCACCTGGGCCGTGTCCTGCTCAGCCTGGAGGTCTACAGCTCGGAGGCCTTCACCAAGGCCCAGGGACCCTGCACGGTGTCGGCCAACAGCCGCGTCTTTGTGGAAGTAACTGAGGGGGAGGGAGGCACCATCCAGCCCCATGGCACTGGGATCTCCCTCCCCTCTGCCCCAGCAGGCCTGGGGCTTTGCCCAGTGCCCCATCACCTTGGGAAGGGCAGAGCTCTGAGGGGCTGTGCTAGCCAGGTCTCCCCCCCCACCCCCGGCTGGTTAACCTGCTGGAGCTGTGGGGTTCTCTTCCCCAGGCCCCTTCCACACCCACAGGGGGGTTGCTCCAGCCTCTGGGGCAGAAGCTGTGGAGAAAGTTACAATATTAATCTGGCAGGAGGTCAGATTGGTGGTGTTAGAGCAGGGGGTCTGGGTGTCAGGACTCCTGGGTTCTATCCCCAGTTCTGGGAGGGGAGCAGGATCAGGGATTAGACCGGGGATGGGTGCCAGGACTCCTGGGTTCCATGCTTGGGGGTGAGATCATGTTTGTGGAGTGGGACCCAGCTGGCCTGAGGTGTCCTGTCCCCTCCCCTCCTGATCTCAACCCTCTGTGCAGGCTGCTCTGGCTGCCTTCGACCCCTGGCTCAGCTTCAGCATCCGCCTCTGCTTCCTCTCGCCGAGCTCCTCCTCCTCGCTGGACTCCCCCTACATCCTGGTGCGGGGGGGCTGCCCGGTTCACCCCGACGTCTCCCTGCACCCACCCTACAAGGGGGCTGCAGGCCAGGCATCGCCCTCTGGCTCCCAGGAGCTACAGCGTCTCAGCTTCCTGCTCCGGCCCCTCTACAATGACTCCATCCAATTCCTGCACTGCCGCCTGGCCCTCTGCGCCCAGGAGCCCCAGGGCCAGGCTGGGGCCTATGGGGGCGCCCTCCCTAAGGTCTGTACCATGCTGCCGGATGCCACCCCTGCTCCAGCCTGCTCCAGTGTGTGTGGCTCTAGCCTGCAGGCCACAGGGAGGATAAAAGCCCAGCTACTGCTGCAGCAAAGGCGGGGGAGTGTCTCCTTTAGCTCAGATGGCAGAGGGAAGTGGCCCCAGTTCTACCCTGGCTTCCAGGGGTTGTCCCCCAGGCTGGATTTCTACCCTGGGCTGCAGGCAATGCTGGAAACACCTGGATGGGCTGGTGGCTGGAGGGGAGGGGCTGAGTCCCCCAGGACAATACAATGGTCCCTGCTGGGGGGGTGCCACAGGGGGCCAACTCTGCCTGTGGGTTCAACGCTGCAGGGGCTGCTCTGGGAGGAGAATGGAGTCCAGTGTTTACCGGGTCAGGCCCCCTGGCTTCCATCCCCAGCCTCTGGGAGGAGTTTGGGGTCCAGGTCACAGTTGTGACCCCCGGCAGGTAGCTGCGGGGTCTGGCTTTCTCTCTGACAAATCAATGTCAATCTATAAAAATTCAGACAAGCATGGCTGGCCTCAGGAAGGGGGTGGGATCCCAGGGCTGGGAACCGTGGGGTGGAGGGAGGGGCTGGTGCTGAGACTGGGAAAGTTTGGGGGGTGAGGGTGGTGAGGTGAGCATCCAGTACTGGGAGGAGGTGCCTGTCTGAGCCTTGTCAGTTTCAGTGTGGGCCCCAGGCCGGGGCATGCACCAGCAGCCGTGTGGGGGAGCCGGGCAGCGGGCGGTTCCAGCACACCTTCACCAAGCCCATCATCGTAACAGTGGGGAGCCTGGGCAGAGCCACCAAACCCACCCCAGGAACAGGTGAGACCTGGGACGGGTTGGGGGCTGGTTATGGGAGCAGGCAGAGAGACTGCAACACACCAAGGCCCTGATGCAATCATCCTGCAGTGCAGCACCCCCTACCACTGGGCTGGGGCATTGGGGTCAGCACTTGACTGCGAGGGGAGAGCGCCCCCTACTGAGCCCCTGCCCTGCTCCCTGCTGCACAGCGCCCCCTAGTATTGGGCTGGGGCATTGGGATGAGCACTGAGCCAGGGGAGAGCGCTCCTCACTGAACTCCTGCTCCCAGCTGCACAGTACCCCCTAGTGCCATGCTGGGGTATTGGGGATGGTCAACACTAACAGCCAGGGGAGAGCACCCCCTGGAGGAGATCAGGGGCTGTCTCCATCCTTCTCTCAAAGTGTTTCTGGCTTCCTTGTCCTTTCCCAGCAGATCCCTTTCTGGTGCCCTTTCCTCGGGCTGGCAGGAGGGGGAAGGTGCTGAAGGGAGAGACACCCCCTGGTAAGAGATGCCCCCTTCATATCACCCCCTAAGCCCCCTGCTGTCCCACTTGCCTTGCAAGCTGGTGAGAGCACATAGTTCCCCTTGGTTTCAGTGGGAACAGAGGGCATGCTGGGAATCAGGATTCCTGGGTTCTATTCCCTGCTCTGGGAGGGGGTTGGGGTCTACTGGGTGAGAGCAGGTGGAGGAGGAGTCTGGGAGCCTGGACTCCTGGGTTCCACCTCCCCCCCCACCCCCCCAGCACTGGCTCTGCATCTGCTCACTCTCCCCGTTCCCCACAGCCCCCCTGCCCCAGGGCCTGGAGCTGCCCACTGTGGTGGGCATCGTCTTCTCAGCTTTCGTCATTGGTGTCTCTCTCACTGGGGGGCTCTGGCTCATTCACTCCAGGACAGGTAGGAGGGGCCGTCGGTTGAGGTGGGGGTCAGATGGATGGTGTCCCCATTGATCCAGTTGCCATCCATGTACCACCCCCCCCTCCCAGCTGGGCCAGTGGTTCCTTCCTAACCAATACATTTAGGAGTCGGGGTGGGCTTGTCATGTGTCACATGCATGTGGAGGGGAACCAGGGGAATCCCTCTCTGTACCCTGGAGTCTAAAGCTACCAGCATCCCTGGAGCCCCAGGGAAAAGGCCCCTTAACTCTGGGAGGGGATAGGGGAGGGGGTCTTGGAGCTAGAACTCCTGGGTTCTGTTCCAGCCCTGGGTGGGGAGTGGCATCTAGTGGGTTAGAGCAGGGAGAGGCTGAGAGCCAGGACTCCTGTGGGGCTAATGGTTAGAGCAGGCTGGGAGTCAGCATGTCAAAGGGTTACTGATTCCTAGCCCTCATCCCTAAAACACCCTTAAGTTATGTTCCCCTTGGCACACTGCCAGTCCCAGCCCTTTCTCCTAAGCTCTGACGGCCTTGTCCTGACCACAGGATTCACACCAGGGCCTTTCCTTCTAGTGAAGCTTCCCCCAGGCGCTCTGTCTTGTGCCAAGTTACACAGATAGCCTGCGGGACTCCCTGCCACAAGGTCTAAAGGTTTAGCTGGCGTCAAATAAAACTGGATGGCTGTAGCTAATGGGTGGGGTGGCAGAGGCAGCATGAGATGAATCCAGGCAGCAGATGACACTCGAAGGGTGGGATTCAGTCTTGACATGGGGGGGGGGTAATCCTTGTTCCTTGCTATCGGCTGTTTGAACTTCTTGCCACAAGGGCGCTGTGAAGCTGGGAGTTTAGCAGGGTTCAGGAAGGGATTTGATGGTTCTACAGTGAATGAGAACAATCCAGAGACACCAGCGTGGCTGCCAGGCAGACCCCAGGGCATGGGAAGGGCTGCAGTCCCTCTGGTTTCCTTGCTAACTCTCCCTTCTCAGTGATGGCGGGCTAGGCAGGGTGGTGCAGCAGTCTGGGCAATAGCCTGGATGTGAGAGGCTAGGGTTCAAGTCACTGCTCTGGCACAGCTTCCCTGGGTGAGCTTGGGCAAGTCACTTAAAAAAAAAAGTGCCTCAGTTTCCCCATCTATACTAGGAGGCTAATAGCACATGCCCTATAGTATGTGGGGGGTGTTATGAGGGTAAATACGGTAAAGATTGTTCTGGGGCAGCTACTACAGTAATGGAGGCAGCTAGGTGCTGGAGATGGGCAATTATTCCAGAGCTGCCACTGCCAGCAGGCCCCTCTCTGCCCAGCAGGGGGCAGCAGCAGGCGCCAAGTGGCCACCTAGCTAGTGCCCAGTATTATCCAGGGTGCAGGTGGGGCTGCCCTGATAGGGATCCCCAGGCTGTGGCTCCCTTGTACGGTGATCCCTGGCCGTTCCTGCCCCGGGCTGGGCTGGGTGGTGTCCCACCAGCCGCCCCCCCCCCCCCGTTGCACTCCCAGGCCGGGGTTTCTAACACCCTGTTTGTTCCAGATCCTGCTGAAGTGCCACCTCCAAGTCCCTCAGCCCCAGCTGTGCCCCCCGCGTTGCCGGCACCTGATGCTGGTGCGGCCTGCGCCCCCCTGCTCTAGGCGCTCAGAGACCCAGGTACGGGGGGTGGCAGGACTCTCAGCCCCCCCCCCCCCCCCCCAATTCCCAGGATCTCGAGTGTGACTCATGGTGAATGAGGCACAGTTATGGGAGCACGGGGGAGGGTTGGGAGCAGGGGATGCACTGGGGGCAGAGCTGGGGGGAGGCAATGCAGTGGGGCAGAGCAGGCAGGTGGGAGAGCAGGTGGGTGGGATTCCCTGCCGCAGGGCGGGCTGTTGAGCTGTGGGGGATGAGTTGAGCTGTGGTGAATGGTGGAGCATGGGGGTGGATGTGGGGGGGGCGCCCCCACTGACCCATCTATCTGTCTCCCTCTGGCAGCTCACAGGGGCCTCCCTGTCCGTGCTCGTGGGGACACTCTGGCACTGGTCCCACCATCACCATCACCATCACCACCTGCAGGCGCCCGGCCCTGTGGCTCCCAGGATCAGCAGCCAATCGGACTCTGCTCAGCACAGCCAGGGTGGCCACTGGGGGAAGGGCCTCTCCACCTGGCCCGGAGGGCCCCCTCCCTGTGAGCGGCAGGCAGCAGGCCTCGCCCAGGCCGGAAGGGGCCCTGGGGCAGGCCCCACGGCATTGGGACTGCGGCACCGGCTGGTTCTTTGCCGGCTGCAGGGAGCGTTCACGCTTTCTGGGTATAAACGTGACCGTGGAGGATGGGCCGGTGCTGCCCGTGTGGTGTTGTTCGCGGCGTCGCTGCTGCCAGGAGCCGGGACGCAGGCTGCTTTCCACTCACGTCCTTTAATTCTCCGCCGGCAGCCGGGGGAGGGTTACAGCGATGGGCCAAGGAGCCATCTCTGCTTACTGGGGCGCAGGGCAGAGCCCGGCTCACATCTCTCCCCTGCGTCGGGGGGCACAGCCCCACAGCTCAGCCCTCCCTCTCCCCCATCCCAGCCCCCAGGGGAGATGCTCATGCCAGGAGCCAAACCAGGCTGGTGCTCCCCCCTTGCCCCAGACAGTGCCCCTGACTGTCCCACTGTGCCCACCTTCAGCTATAGGGGGACCGAAGGTCTGGCTGGCACGAGGGGGCCACGAAGGGCAGGCAACTGAGTCCTTCTGCCGGCTGTCGGCTCCGTCACGTGGTGGCTGTGGGGCCCAGCAGCACCTGCCAGGCGAGGGGGGGTGGGGTGCGATGGCAGCTTGGGGGATGATCTAGGAGCCCCCCTCAGCTCTGGGGTTTCTCCTCTGGCCTCTACAGCTCCCCCTGCAGGCCGGGTGTCCCAGATCCCACCTGTCTGGCCCCTAGCGGAGGGCACCCAGTGCCTGGCCACCCCCGGGGCTGTGGAAGAGCCCGTGGGTCTCCTGGTGGCGCCGGAGGTCCACCTTGCGCTGGAAGCCCTTGGGGCAGAGGGAGCAGGCGAAGGGCTTGTGCCCGGAGTGCTTGCGGCTGTGGGTGATGAGGTTGGAGCTCTGGCTGAAGGCTTTGCCACACACCTGGCATTTGTGAGGCTTCTCACCTGCGGGGAGAGGGAGAGAGGTTAGGTGTGGGTGCTGCAGGAGGGGCCAGGATCCCTCAGGGCTCAGCAGAGAGCCCCAAAACTCACCCAGGGTCCTGCAGGACTGGAAGGACCCTAGAGTAGCAGGGCCCCCACCTACCCAGCCAACCACGGGCCCGCGCACCCCCCCCCCCCTAGACAGCCACAGGCCCAGCACAGCCTGGATCCTGCTTGGGCTGCAGTACGGGCATGGGGTCGATGCTTGCAGCCCCGTGACCCCCTTCACCTGCCATTCCCTGATCAGGCCCCCAGGTGCTGCTGTTGCTCCATGGAGTTGCGGAGGGCGGGAGCTGCAGCAGGCATGAGGGCCCAGTTTGTGCAGGGCGGGACATGGAGGCAAGTGCATCAAATGTCCCGCTGTTCAGTCCGGCTGCAGATCCCGGCCCGCAGCCCCTGCTGTCCCAGCCCTGGGCTCCCACCAGCTCTGCTGGTGCCCCCCAAGTCTCACCCGCAGCCCACTGCTGTCCCACTCCTGGGCGCTGGTACCCCTAATTCCCAAGCCACAGCTCCCCGCTGTCCCAGCCCTAGGCTCCCCCAAGAGCTCTGCTGGTGGCCCCCAGTCCTGACCCACAGCCCCTGCTGTCCCAGCTGTAGGGTCCCCCCCAAATATCTGCCAATGCCCCCTGTCCTGGGGTTGGGGGAGTCCGAGCCGGCTGCCCCTCACCGGTGTGGATGAAGGTGTGTTTCTTCATGTCGGATTTCTGGTGGAAGCGTTTCCCGCAGAAGGGGCAGGGGAAGGGGCGCGTGTCCGAGTGGATGAGCAAGTGGGTGGAGAGTGTGGATGAGCGCTTGAACTGCTTCCCGCAGATCCGGCAGGGGAAACTCCTCACCTGCAGGGAAACCCATCAGCTGGGGCCTAGCGGGGGGTGGGGGAGGGAATTTTTGGGATCTGCAACAACCCCCCGGTCTCCTCCACTGGCCTCCCCTGTATAGCCCTGCCTTCACCCCCCACCATGTTGGACCCATGGCTGCCCTCTGCCCAAATGGATGCCCATCCAGGCCCCCAACGCCTCCCACTGCTGCAAAAGATCCACCTCGAAACCCCCATTTGTATATCACCATCCACCCTCCCCCCCCAGGCCTCACCCACCTCTGGCTTCCCTTTGCCCGGGCAGGGAGGGGCAGGCTGGTGCTGCAGGCTGCCTGGGTGTCCACACATCCCCCACGGGGCCATGGGGCTGCAGAGCGTTGAGCATTTCAGGTGGCTGCCTAGCCGCTGAGCTGCAGGGAGGCCCTGGGGGTGGGGAGAGAAAGGGGGTCAACAGGGGGAGCCTGCCCCAAATGTACAAGCTGGAATTGGTGGTGGCCATGTAGGGTGGGGCTGAGACCGCCCCAAATTCATCCGGGCAGTGACTGAACCTAGCCCCTCCAGTGCCTGGACGTTTGTTGGGGCCAGCCTGTGTCACCTGCCTTTGTTCTACAGCCACCTTCTCATGAGTCTGACCCGGAAACCTCACAATTCCCCCCCTCCCACCCGCTTTGTGATCTGACACTGGGGAAAGGGGCCCACTGGGCAGCCCCTGGCAGGGATGGGGCTTGGTTACCTACCAGCCCCCTCCACCCAAGCAGGGCGAGTTTCCACCACACAGCATGGCAGCACCTAGCACCCCCTACAGGGACAGAGCCGGCATCACACTAGGCCTGCACAGAGTGCTACACTCCCTGGTCACACCCTAAACAGACACAGAGTGGGAGGGTAAACTGAGGCACAGAGTGGGAGGAGAAGAACTCACCCAAGCAGATCAGAGAACCCTGGTCCCCAAGTCCCAGTCTGGTGTTTTGTCCACTAGGCCACTCTGCCACTTGTGCCTGCCCCAGAGACCCCCGCCCAGCTGCACAGGGGAAGCGTAGCCCCATGCTGGGCAGCACCAGGCTGGGCATGGGGAGGGGGCTTCACTCAGCTCTGTTTAAAGGTGGGGGCTGTGAATGGGACATGGGGCCTTTCCCCTCTAGGGGGTGCCAGCTCCCATCTTGCCCCAGGGCGGGACTAGTTGGCTCAGGGGGCAGGGAATGGGACATGGGGCCTTTCCCCTCTAGGGGGCGCTGGATCTGATCCCGCCCGAGCTGGCAGTGGCAGGGAGTGGTGCCCGCATGAAGTGAGGTGGGAAGGGTTCTTCATCCAGTTCCCAGGGGCAGGAGCCTCCAAACAGCCCCATTGCTGGCAGCCCTGAGGGGAGGCCAAGCGCTGGAGAGGGATGGAGCTCCGGGGCTGGAGCACGCAGGGAGGCCTTAGCTCCCAGGGTCAGCAGGGCGAAGGCCTCAGCCCAGTCCCTTGGGGGTGGAGGGGGCCGTTACCTTGTCACAGCAGCTGCACCTGTGTGGTGGCTTGGAGAGGAGCAGGAGAGATCCCAAGAGGCCAGAGGGCTCCTCGGCGTCCCCTCCCAGCTCCCTCCTGGAGCACAGAGCCGGCGGCAGGACGCTCTGCACCAGCTGCTTCAGCTCAGGGCTGCGATAGCTGCTCCAGAAGGGCTTGAACGACCCATCTGGGGGGCTGCTCACGCCTGCGGGGAAACAGCAAGTGAGGGACTGGGCCATGGGGCCTTTCCCCTCCAGGGGGGGCCGGCTCCAGCTGGCTCAGTGGGCCAGTGATTGGGCCATGGGGCCTTTCCCCTCCAGGGGGGGCCGGCTCCAGCTGGCTCAGTGGGCCAGTGATTGGGCCATGGGGCCTTTCCCCTCCAGGGGGCGCCGGCTCCAGCTGGCTCAGTGGGCCAGTGATTGGGACATGGGGCCTTTCCCCTCCAGGGGGCGCCGGCTCCAGCTGGCTCAGTGGGCCAGTGATTGGGACATGGGGCCTTTCCCTCCGGTCTCATGTTTCCTCCCCTCCAGGGGGCGCTCCAGCTGGCTCAGTGGGCCAGTGATTGGGACATGGGGCCTTTCCCCTCCAGGGGGCGCCGGCTCCAGCTGGCTCAGTGGGCCAGTGATTGGGACATGGGGCCTTTCCCCTCCAGGGGGCGCCGGCTCCAGCTGGCTCAGTGGGCCAGTGATTGGGACATGGGGCCTTTCCCCTCCAGGGGGCGCCGGCTCCACTCCGGCCCCAGGGTAGGGGACTGGCTGGCTCAGAGGGTGGGGAATGGGACATGGGTAGTTGCTGTTGTGTAAGATGAGGTTAGGTGGGTCTCAGTCCAGTTCCCAGTGGGGCAGGTGGCCCCATCACAGAGCTGGCCACCTGCCTGCCACGGCCTCCCAGAGCAAGGCCAGATGGGGCTGAGAGGGGGATGGGAATTGCACCTGGAGAGGGAAGCTGGGAGGCTGGGGGTGATGGGCTGGTGTGGGATTGGGAGAGGCTCCCTCAGGGGAGGATGGGGCTGGTTGTGGGGGTTACCTGGCAGGGGCCGACAGGCCCAGCTCTGGCTGAAGTCCATTTCGGAGGGGGGGCTGCGCCGTGCCTGGCTGGTTGCCCCATCCCTATCCTGCACCCCCCAGTTTGCCAAGGTCCTGGGATGGGCTCTGCTCCCTTCCTCTGCCCCCTGCCCCAACTCGGGGGGCCAGACCAGCGCCGGCCCTGCTCGGGGTGCTCCCCAGGCTGGGTCTGGAAGGAGGATTTGCTGGTGAGATTCTCTAAGCCTCCCCTCCACCCCCAACCCTGGGCTGGGCAGGGCAGGGCAGGCAAACCCCCGGCCTCCAGGTGAGCTCATGGGGTGGGGAGGTTCGGGGGTTCTCGCCACGTTCACCCAGCCCCACCCTTCCCATTCCCTGCCCCTCCCTTGCTCTCCAGTAGCGGGTGCCCTTCTTCCCTTGCCTGCCCCCTTCCATTCCCCTGCCCCCTCCCGCGCATTCTCCCTTTGAGGGAACTCGTTCCCTTCACCTGCTGCCCCAGCTCACCCCTTCCCCCTGCTCCCACTCACCGCCAAGCCCCTCCGGTCGCTGCCCTGAGTGGTTTGGGCCCCTCTTGCTTCTCACCAGGAAAGAGCGCGGCATCCTGGCAGCTGCGGGATGGGGAGAGTCACTATGTGGCTGGCCCAGCCACTACCCCTTGGAGCCTGTGGGGGGCACTGAGCCAGTTGAGAATGGCCCGGTCAGGCCTAACCGGTCGCTGGTCTGTAGTGGGTCCCAGTAGGGGCAAGTCACTAAGCAACCCCTCCCGTTTCCTGCCCCTCAGTCATTCTCTGCAGACAGGAATGGGGGTCAGGACTCCTGGGCTCAGTGCCCAGCTCTGGGAGGGGAGAGTGGTCTAGTGGTTTGTGGGGGTGTGTGTGTGGGGAAGGACTGGGGGTCAGGACTCCTGGGTTCTGCCTGTCTCTGACTTGCTATGTGACCTTGAGCCAGTCCCTTCCCCTCTCTGTGCCTCAGTTGCCCCATCTGTTCATTAATCTCTGTGAAGTGCTTCAATTCACAACTCCAGATGCCCTTTCCTGCCCTGGACCTGACAGTGCTGAGTGCAAGGACCAGGCTTTGCATCTGTTTGTACAGCCCCATGCACAAGGGCGCCCAATAAACCATGGGGCTGAAGGGTCTGTCCCCAGGAACAATCAGATGCTACCTCACACCACTAGGGGCTAGTCATAATGACTCCTGCCTGGCCCCGCGAGGGGCAGGTCAGGGTATCCCAGTTAACTGATGGTGAAGAGACCTGTTCTGAGGTCATGCAGCAAGACCATGCCAAAACTGATACTGGAACCCAGGAGTCCTGCTCCCAGCCCTCCCCCTCCATCTCTAAGCACTAGATCCCACTCCCCTCCCAGAGCTAGGAAAATAACCCAGGTGTCCTGACTGCCAGCCCGCCCCACTCTAACCACTAGACCCCTCTCCCCTCCCAGAGCTGGAAAAAGAACCCAGGCGTCCTGACTCCCAGCCCCCATCTAGCTGCTAAACCCACTCCCCTCCCTCACCTGGAAACAGACTAGAGCCAAGCCGCGCCTCTGACAGCAGCCACAAGAGGTGCTGTACAAATGGGCCAGAGCTCAGCTGGTGTAAATCAACTAGGCGCCAACTGCAAACATCTGATTTTCACCACCTGGGGATCTGGCCCCAATGACACCAATGGAGTGACACCAGTTTACACCAGCTGGGGATCTGGCCCAAGGTACGGCAGGAAGTTTTCCTATACAAAACTGGTGCAGGAGCCATCCCAGCTCCCCCTGAGCGACACTGGCCCACCCCCCCTCCACCCCCTGCCCCCCGGAGGTGGGGGCTCGGCTGCTTTTAGAGCCTCAGAATACCCTACTTACTGCCCCCCGGGGCGGGAGATGATCAAGTAAGTGGCACCAGCAGGTTACGGGACAGTGCCCTGCAGAGCCCCAGCTCCAGACATGGCCCCCCCAGGGATAGAGCTGGAGCCAGTACAGTGCGGGTTGGGTCGGGGTCATGGAGCGACAGCTGTTCAGGATGCTGGGATAGAAAGAACGGGCTTGTGTTTACAGCTGTCGGACGGGAGTGGGCTGTAGTGGGTTAAGGCATGGTGGAGCTGGGGCTCAGGACTCCTGGGTTCCATTTCCTGCTCTGGGAGGGGAGTGGGGTCTAGGGGGTAGAGCAGGGTGGGCCTGGGAGTCAGGACTCAACGGTTCTATTCTAAGCTCTGGGAGGGCAGTGGGGGGGGGGTCTAGTGGTTATAGGTTGGGGGCTGGGAGTCAGGATGCCTGGGTTCTGTTCCTGGCATCCAACTCTGCGAGGTGTCCTGCCCAAAAGGGCCCTGATTGTGTCTAATCTCCATACTATTTCCTGCCATGTGGAAGCCCCAACTGTACCCGGTCTGGACAGACACAATCCATCAGCAGTAAGGAAGCCATGGCAAGGCACTCGCATGGCCCTCGCACCCCCAAGGGTTCACTCACCTGCAGCCTCCGCGCTGTGGGGGAGCCTCTGCGGGTGGCTATTCCACCACCTTTGCCATCTCAGCCTGAGAGCCGGGGCAGGGCAGAGCACTCGTATGACGCGCAGCCAATCAGGCTGCCGGACGGGGGCTAACGCTCCCCACTGCAAACCACAGCTGGCTTCCTTCTGATCCGAACAGGCGCCTAACTGCCAGCTGCAAGGCAGAAACCACTGGCTGGAGGCAAGGGGGCGGGGGTGTCTAGTGGCAGCAGTCCCTGATCCAGCTGTGCATTCAGCAGGGAGCTGGGCCTGTTGCAGTTAACTGGGGCCATCAGCTGAAGGTCCTTAGATTGGACGCACTCTCTCTTGCCCCAAAGCAAAGCGATGGGCCCAGATTGTCCCCACGCTGCAGTTTAGAGACCCCATCCATCTGTTGATCAGGCTCTTTCCGCCAGCCCATAACGCACGCACGGCCTCTCTATTTTACCTACCAACCTGGGCAGAAATCTGTGCTCTGAAACCAGGCAGCTCACTGCAGGGCCAGCAGGGGGAAGCATGAGGCATTGCTTTTGTGTAGAGCCTACAAAAACGTCTGGAGGGAGCCGATCTCGAGTCCAACTACATCATTGTGATGGAGATCTCTTCCCCACTGTCATGCCGGGTGCTGTGCAGACAGCGATGGAGACTGGAGGCCCTGTTGTGCCGGGTGCTGCGCAGATGCCTAGCGAGACAGACAGCTCCTGCTCACAGGAGTTTACAATTTAAATAGATGGGAGAGATGTCAAATTCCCCTTTTACAGCTGAGAAACTGAGGCCCAGATCCACAGAGATACTTAGGTGTCTAAGTGTAAGGGGACTGTTGGCCCTTTACTAAAGCTCAGTGTGTGTGTGTGTGTGTGGGGGGGGGTCGGGGGTTGGCTAGCTCCCAGTACCAAAAGACATGGGAAGAGTCCATGAGAAATCAGTCCCCAAGGGCAGTGGGGAGAGGCCAATATTCCAGGTCAGCCTGATTGACGGGGCGGGCAGGTTAATCAAGGAGTCAGGAGGCCAGGGGGTTCTCACCCTCCTTGTGAGCTGGAATTGCCTGGGTCAGACAGGGTGGGGCTGAGCTAAGGAGAGAGCAGGGGCCCAAGCTGAGCTGGGGAGCAGAGCCGTGCCAGCCAGAGAACCAGAGAAGCAGCCCAGGGAACAGACCTGTGCTGGGAGCAGAGCTGCAGCAAACGGAGCTAGAGGGGCCAGAGAAGCTTCCCCCAGCAGCAGCTGTGCTGAGGAAGGGTGGAGCTGGGGCTGGAGCAGCTGGGGGAAGCGAGGGGGGACCCTCGGCAGTGGGCCCAGCGCAGGGAGATGGCCCCAGCCAGGGGGCTTTGCAGGCCAGACTTGGAGGGGGATCATAACCCCAATGGGGGAACTGATGCGAGGAAGAAGGGTCCTGCCACCTAAAGCCTGAGGGCGTGTGGCTACCGCCAGAGCAAGTGTCTGACCCGCAGCATCCCTGCAGCATAGCCAGGCCTGGGACATGAGGGACAGACTGTGAACTGCCCTGACATCCCAGAGACGCTGGTTGTCATGTCCCCTGCCACAGAGAGGGGTCACGTGATTGCCTTAGCTTTTTAAAATTGATTGCTGTTTAATACATTGTATTTGCTTTGAACTGTATGTGATGATCAGTGGGTCAGGGAAGCGTCCAGAGCAGAGAGAGCACCCCGGAATGGGACACCTAGCCCCTGCCCTAAGTGACCATGACAAGGCTGGGGGTCAAGCCCCCCAGGAATCCTGGGCCCAGCCTTGTTGGGGTTACAAGTACTCTGCCACAGGAGAATGGAAAGGCAGCCCTGGAGGTCAGGCAGCCTCTGGGTAACGGGAGCGGAAGCGAGGACTCAGATACTTTCACTAGCCCATTCCACTGGGGTCGTGTATAAGCCAGGAAAGTTCCCCACAATAGCGGGACCATTCCCTGGCTTCCTTATTCACCCTCGTGATCCACAAAACCCCTCCTGGCGGCTGTCAAACCCTGTAGGTGCCTAAACTTGGCACCTGTGTTTTCAGCATAAAGTTTCCTTTGGCACCAAGTTTCAGCCTCTGGGCATGCACACTGCTGCCTCCCTCTACTTGACCGGCACCTAAGCCCCAGACATTTGTGAACCCGGGAAGCTAAGCAGAGGAGCGCCTGCCTCAAGTGCAGGGCCTGAGCCGGTAGTCGGCCTCGGAGGCCACCCACTCCCATTCGGACGTCAGCCAGAGAAGACAGTGGTACCACCCCCCAGTGTTTTAGGCCAGTGGTCGGGCACTCCGCAGGGATGGGGGGGACCCAGGGTCCAATCACCCTCCTACCTGCGGGGGAGTGAGGATTTGAACAGGGGTCTCCCACATCCCAGCTGAGTGCTCAAGCCACTGTGCTAAAGGTGTAAGTGGGGAAGCGTCACCCCTCCCGCCATGCAAAGAAACCGGCACGGCTCTGATTCCCACCACAACCAGCTTGGGCGCCCCCCCCCCCCAGCAGAGGGCTTCCCGCTGTGCATTGCTAGCGGGTGGAGGCATCTACCTGCATCCCTGATTTGTGCTGAACGCCATGAGAGGGGCGGGGCTTCAGACACACCCCTTTTGTCAGCATCGCCCCATTGGCTAGTTTTGACAGCTCGTCCCCCAGTGTGCTGGTTTTTGTGGGTCCTATTTGACAGCCCCACAATGGATGGGAACAGCAGATATGGTCTGGCGGAGCGGTGGGAGCAGCCCTGGATGGGCCCAGCCCTGCGATGGATGGGGATAGCTGATACGGATGGGGGGATGGGAGCAGCCCTGGATGGGCCCAGCCCTGCGATGGATGGGGATAGCTGATACGGATGGGGGGATGGGAGCAGCCCTGGATGGGCCCAGCCCTGCGATGGATGGGGATAGCTGATACGGATGGGGGGATGGGAGCAGCCCTGGATAGGCCCAGCCCTGCGATGGATGGGGATAGCTGATACGGATGGGGGATGGGAGCAGCCCTGGATGGGGCCAGCCCTGCGATGGATGGGGATAGCTGATACGGATGGGGGACGGGGCAGCCCTGGATGGGCCCTGCCCTGCGATGGATGGGGATAGCTGATACGGATGGAGGGGATGGGAGCAGCCCTGGATGGGCCCAGCCCTGCGATGGATGGGGATAGCTGATACGGATGGGGGGATGGGAGCAGCCCTGGATAGGCCCAGCCCTGCGATGGATGGGGATAGCTGATACGGATGGGGGGATGGGAGCAGCCCTGGATGGGCCCTGCCCTGCGATGGATGGGGATAGCTGATACGGATGGGGGGACGGGAGCAGCCCTGGATGGGGCCAGCCCTGCGATGGATGGGGATAGCTGATACGGATGGGGGGACGGGAGCAGCCCTGGATGGGGCCAGCCCTGCGATGGATGGGGATAGCTGATACGGATGGGGGACGGGAGCAGCCCTGGATGGGCCCTGCCCTGCGATGGATGGGGATAGCTGATACGGATGGGGGGACGGGAGCAGCCCTGGATGGGCCCTGCCCTGCGATGGATGGGGATAGCTGATACGGATGGGGGGACGGGAGCAGCCCTGGATGGGCCCTGCCCTGCGATGGATGGGGATAGCTGATACGGATGGGGGGATGGGAGCAGTGCTGGATGGGCCCCAGCAAACAGAACAGCAAGAGGCCTGTATTGGTCCCTGTTCCACTCCTCCAGACCTGGCAATTCAGAGGGCCGGGAAGAAGGCAGGAGCAGCCCCTCTGTCCCAACCAATGCACATCCAGCACTGTTGGAATACAGCCACCTCTGGGGTGGAGCTACCGGCTTGAATCACAGCCATGGGGGCCGTTTTGGCCAGGACACACACTGCTATTGCAGAGGGATCTTTAAGGTCTACACCCAGGCAGACAGGGCTTTAAAATCTTAACAGAATGCTCCACCTGCAGTCAGCTGCTCCGAACCCACCTGCCTGGATGATAGTTGACTGCATGGGGCATTGCTGGGTCCAGCTCTCAATCCTTCAAGCAGCTCCTGCAACATGCACCTCTGAACATCCTCCCCATCGTGTCAGCCATGTGCCAGTTTCACTCTCTTGCCGTCTGGTTCTGCTCTGACTCACGGGAGCCCTGATTCCCCTGCCCACTTCCTGTCTCAGCTGGGAGGCTGTTTGCACAGATCTCGCTCTGGGCTGGGCAGGCTGGCTCAGTGCAAGAACTGAACGGGCAGTAGGGGTGATGCCTTTGCTCTGATAAATCCTTCTCATGAGCAGCAAGTCACAAATATCTGGTGCGTGCAGCAGTTGAGTCCATATGCCATTGGCTGCCAGCCTGGCTCAGACTGATGGGCCCATCTAGCCTGGTATCCCACCTGCAGCAGCGTCCAGCACTGCCAGCTGCAGAGGATGCACCCTAGTGGGCATTAATGGAATAACCTGCTCCCAGGGGAAGTTTCTGCCTAACCATTAGCTAAAGGTTGGCTCATGCCCTCAAACCCTGGGGCAGCTGACCTGGTAGGAGCCTGCCCAGTGCAGCCATTGACAGCAGAGGAGCAACTCAGCTTCACTAGATATTCCAGCCGAGAGCAGCTCAGATCCCCCCAGCTCAGCCAGAGGGAAACTCCTATTTGCTGCTGAGGCACCTGCCCAGCCCTGCTGTTCAGACCCCCAACTGCGCAGCATGCACTGTCCACTGCTTCGCCCGTCTCTATGGAGGGGAAGCTCGCAGGGTCCCTGCTAATAGGGAACTCGAGCAAAAGGCCAGCAGGGCAATTGTGGCTCGCAGCCACAGGGCAAGGAGTGGGAGTCCTGGAAGGAATTATGATCAAATTCAGGAGCCCTGGCAAAGGGATATCTGGCCAGGGTCACCTCGACACCAGCCTGAGTTTGGCGAGAGCCCGCTCAGCACGGGGGAGAGGGCAGCCACGCACAATGATCCGCACGAGGTCAGAATGTGAGTGTCGTGAATCTCCCCTGAGCGGGAGATCTTACCCCACTAGCCTTCCTTTATGGTGCATTCAGTCATGGCTCTGGGGTCCCACAGCTGCCAACTAGGACTGGTCTGTGTGAGATGGACACCAGCCCTTCAAGAACCGGGACTCAGACCCACCAAACAGCCACCATCAATTTTCACTACCTGAGCTGGGCTGGCTCTGAACCACTGACCAAGATGGCAAAGGCTTTGGGCAGGATCCCAAGCTGATGTAAATCAGAATTGCCCCATTAAAGTCAGTGGAGTGATACTGATTTACACCAGCTAAAGATCTGGCCCTCTATGTCCCATATCAGTTCTCCCCTCACCCCTTGCATAGAGTTTAAGACCAGAAGGGGCCACTATGCTCAATGTCTGCCCTCCAGCATGACCTAGGCGAGAGCACCGCACCCAGGGCTCCCAGCGCACAGCCCATATCTCATCCTTGAGCTACTGCAGCTCACTGAAAACCACTTCTGCTCAAGTGCTGGAGAATCCACCCCGCACCAGGTCATTTCTGGTGGCCAGTCACCCCTCTCCTCATCTGCACCTTATTTTTAGTCTATATTTGCCTGGTTTTAAATTCCAGTGACGCCTTTGGCTGCTGGTCGTAAGAGCAGCCTTCTCCCAACCCCAAGTACAAAGGCAGAAAAGATCCACTGGCTGGAAGCTGAAGCTAGATAAAT